GAAGGAGAAGGGGGGGGACCTGTTCCACCCTCCTGGGTCTGTGTGCCCCTCCAGATACCAGCGACAGTGAGCTGGAGCTGTCCATGGTGCGCCACCAGCCAGAGGGGCTGGAGCAGCTGCAGGCACAGACCAAGTTCACCAAGATGGAGCTGCAGTCCCTCTATAGGGGCTTCAAGAATGTGAGTGATCCCCACCCCTCAGGAGAGGCCCTGACCCACCCCACCCTTTTATCCTTGGCTCCAGGAAGGGGAATTCTGGCTCAGGCAGACCTTCTAGAAACTTCATGGAGCAGCAAATATCCTGGGGCCTTGATGAGGCTCATGTTTTGTGGGAGACCTGTCGGGGAGTGTGTGGGCCAAGCCCAGAGTCAGTGTCTCCTTTCTGCGTGTCTGTGTGCTGGCGCAAGGGAAGGACCAGATTGGCCCAAGGGGACCAGCCACCGCCTGCCCCCCCCGCTTGTTTGTTTGTTTGTTTAGTTTTTCCTTAATTCTAAGTTGGTATTGTCAGCCCCAGCCACCAGACTTTCCTGGGCGCTCAGTAGAGCCCAGCAGTGCCTTGGACAGTAGGCATCCTTCAGAGGGAGGAGTCAGGGTGCGGGGCTGGGGGTGGCCGAGGCTGCTGAGGGTGACTTACTGCTGCAGGAGTGTCCCTCGGGCCTGGTGGATGAAGACACCTTCAAACTCATTTACGCACAGTTCTTCCCTCAGGGAGGTGAGTCCGAGGCCAGACCCCTGCTCCCGCTTCTCCCGATGCCCCCACTTTGTCCCTATGGCAGCTCTGCAGAGGGCGGGCGTCCCTTTATGGGGAGGGGACCCTCACCCCCACCTCTATGCTCCCCGCCACCACTTGCTTCCTGGAGGCCTGATGCTGCCTCATCCCACTGGAAGGGGGTACCCCAGCTCAGGACACAGGTGGAGCCCCAGTGGGGCTGCCTGAGGTGGGGGCTTGGCTGCCAGGAGGCCCCCCTCACCCCAGCCAGTGCCCTTGTCTCCTCCAGATGCCACCACCTACGCACACTTCCTCTTCAATGCCTTCGACGCTGACGGGAACGGGGCCATCTGCTTCGAGGTAGGTCTCTGCTGTGCCCTCCCACATCCCCTGTGGCAGGCCAGGCGTCCCTCTGCCCTGGTGCCACACCCTCGGGCTCTCTAGAGGGTCTGGCTGATCCTGGTGTACATGGTCCAGCGTGCCCCCTGGGGAACAGGTGGGCTGTGTTTGGCTGGCCCGGGCCTAACTCTGAAGTCAGTAGAATTTGGTTTTGCTGTCTGGCCTCCTATTCCCAGCCTGGTCTTCCAGTCCAGCCCCAGGGAGCCCAGGGAGCCACCGTGGCACCCCGAGGTGGCAGGGACCAGGGTGGGTTTGCACGGGAGAAAGAGACGAGGCTCCACTGGGAGATCTGTGCTGGCAGCGGGTTTCAGGCCCCAGCCCCAGACTCACCGCCTTTGTCCGGAAACACACAGAGCCCCCGGCCTGAGCAGGCCCCTGCCACCCCAGCCTGGTATCTCCGCTGTCGGGAAGGGGGGTTCCCCCCCACGTGTCCCCAGCAGGGCCTCGCCTGGCTCTGTGTGGGCAGCCATGGGTCCCACCCCGGCCGGGCCACAAGATCATTTGAAGGAGGCAGGTCTGCGGAGCCCAGGCCCCTAAAAATAGCTGCAGGTGAAAAGCTGAAACCTCTTTGGGGAGGAAACCCATGCTGAGAGCCAGGCGTGATCGATAACCACTCGGCCAAGGGCGGTGACAGGAAAGCCTCGGACCTGCGAGGCCGGGGGAGATAATAGCTCTAACATCGCACCCTGGCGTTACTGCATTCCTCCGTGTGCCCGCCCGCCCAGTGCTGCACTGACACCGCCTGGGTGACCGCAGGCCCGCCCCCTTGGCCACACTCTCAGGGCTCCTGTGCGTGTGAGAACGTGCAGTGTTCCCAGCTTCCCTGTTCTCAGTGATGCCTGCACACAGTACAGATCCCGTCCGTGTAGAGGGGGAGACAGCAGGGAACACCCACTGTCCCCAGGGCCCCTCCCTGTGACCAGTTTCTGCAGATCCTTCTCGAGGCACCTGAGACGTCTGGGAAGGGGGTGTGGGAAGGGACTAGTGTGAGGGACACGCCAGGGCGTGGTGGTGGTTCCTCTTCTTCTGAAATCGGAGGATCCGACTGCTCAGTGGGGCCCCTCTGTGCCCAGGGGGGTGTCAGGAAGGTCCAGGTTCCTCCCCTGTGGCCATCACTTCCCATCCCCCGAGGGAGGGGTCTTTTGATACCTTTAAGGTGGTGGTGGTGGGTTTTGGGGGGCTGCTGTCAGTGGCTGAGTTGAGGGTGCTGGTGCCAAGGCCCCTCTGCCTGGCACCTCTCAGGCTGTTCCCTCCGGTGTCATCTGACCTTCCATGTGCCGCTCTGCCTGTGAAGGTAGCGCCTCTTGGTCCACATGGTGTGTGTTCTCCACGACGACCTTCCTCTTGACCCGGGGTCTGCTGTGGGGAGGTTCTCCAGGAAGGGAGGAGGGCATGTGTCTCCCCGGGGTTCTCCCAACCAGCAGGGCTCCATGCCGGCTGTTCACAGGCCAGGAAAGGTCCCGGCAGGTTGGGATGACACTCAGCCCCCTCATGGCTCAGACTCAGCGTGTTCTGGAAATGGACACTCAGGTCAGTTTATGGGCATTTACAGGGATCCCGATGCTTTTGTATGTTCTTGAGAGACAAGACCCATATTAATTAAAATCGACTGATATGGGAAAATGTTATAACTTCCCTGCCCTCACCAGAGACTACCGGAAAGTAGATGGGCAAGACCAGCCAACCTTAGCATGGAGCCTCGCTGGGTGTCTTAGCTCGGAGGCCTCTCTGCATCGCTGTGTCGCTATAGGAGCCCCTCAGCCTCCCGGGGCTCTGCCTCTGGGACAGCCGGAGAGCAGGGCTGTGGATGTGACAGGCCGTTTATGCCTCGGACTTAAGGGCAAGGAGTCGCAGAACCAGCGCCGGCCCCACCCATACTGTGCTGTGTGGGGTGGCACTTCAGAACTCGAAAGCTGTCTGGACGTGGGGTCATCTGTGTGTCACCGAGGATGGGCCAGGGGCCCAGGGCACATTGCCACCACCCCTCTCCTGGCACCACCCTCTGCCATACGTCACACACGGAGGGACCCTGAACGGGACAGTCCCCGGGGTGACCACGAGGGCTTCCGCACCACAAACCCGCGTCTAAAGGCCAGAGGGGGGACAGTGGTGCCCCCGGGGCCCACGTGAGATGGGTCCTGTGTGGGATTCCAGTCCTTCCCCTTCCACCAGGGAGCCTGTCGGACCCCAGAGGAGAGGGAGGGCCTGAACTCAGATGCTTTGACTCTTTGCTGCTGAGGAAACCGCCAGCAGGAGTCAGCGGTGCCCTCAACTCTGAGGACTGGCCATGGTTTTCCTAGACATACTCTCATCTTCTTCACCTAAACACACGTGATGTCAAGAGTCCCGCAGATTACAGGGTATAGACCTTGGGAAACAGCAGTAACACCCACATGCCCGAGGAGGCAGCTTGTTTTAGCTGATTGACTCTTCTCACAGCAGCACGCCTCCACTCCTCCTTCCTGACTGTCCATCTCAGACACGGCCTGCGGCCGTCTGCCCTGGCGGTGGGGACGCGGCCTCGCAGGCCCACACTTTTCCATCCCCAGCTTCCCACAGCACAGGATTCCGATTGGACAGGACTCGCGGTTCACCTGATCGTGGGCGTTTGAGCCCAGTAAGCCTTGCAGTAAACTGTGGCGTGCTCTCCTCTTCTGCACACATTCTCATTCTGCCTGCCATTGGCAATTTCCTGAGTTTTCACTTGCCTGGGGTCTGGACCTCATCATTAACTCACCCAGGTCCTTCTCCAGTCATCGGACGGGCACCTCCCGGAGGACACGCCTCCCCAGCCTCAAGGCTCCAGCATCCACTGGGGCTGGGCACCTCCTGGGGGTCTCGTCCCCTCTCCCCTGCTTTGGGGGGCCTGCTTCAGGTCTCCCGGTCCCAGCACCCTCCTCCTGCCTACTTTTCTCTTTCTTCTCAGGTGCACGTTTCCCAGCAGCCATCTAGGAAGAAAGTATGTGGGAGGTAGACATCTGGGAGGGTCTTGATTCTGTTCTCTTGTTTGATGTGTTGTGTGGGACCAGAGCGTGGTGGGAAACTGTGGTCCTTCAGGATGGTGGCCACCAGGCCCCTGGCCTCCTCCCCCGAGTGGTGCCCAGAGGGCAAAGCCTGCTGACCCCGGCCCTGTGGACGGGGCTTGATTCTGCTTTTCTCGTTGGCTTTGTTTTTCTCTCTGGAAGCCTGGAGGCTCTCTTTGCACCCAGTTTTCTGAAACGGCATCGGGATACATGCCTGCAGGTGACACTGCGGGCTGTTTGCAGGCGGGAGGCCTCAGCAGGCCCTGCATAGGCACAGCCTTCTGTTGTGGCCGGTCTTCTCTCCCTTCTCGCCCTTCATGCCTCGTGTCCTCCCTTCTCC